GGGCGAAAAGTTAAACTCAAGGTTCGGATAAGGTGCCAGGATGTCTGAACTCTGGGAGCAACAGAGTTCTAGGAAGGAGTAATTAACTCTGGATTCATTTGGTTATAGCCTGGTCTGTTGGGAACACACAGTCTCCAGTAAAAGTTTCCTTTGTGTCCACACCAGTGTCCCAGAGGGAAATCATGTGCTTAGAGGTTGGAGGAGCCAGAAGGAAACGTGCCTCATGAACAGACAGAGGAAGCGCTAAATATCTCCTGTGTAGCAGTCCCTCTGCCTTGGGCTGGAAGGGACCTGATTGTTGTTTCAGGAATCCTAAGCTTGGCTGGGAGACTAACTCTTGCCTCTTTACTGTTGTCTTACATGAGGACAGTTTAGTCACCATCATTCCCACCTAGGAGGAATTCAGACTGCCACATAGACACCCCTCCCTCAGAGTTGTCATTCAGGTGAGTCCCAGAGCCTAGCAGGTTCTGCAGGCAAGTGTCAGACACAATCCATGCCTTGTGTAGTGACCTGAGGTCACCTAACAGTCACCAAACTGGCCAAAAAAACTACCAATCTCTATGCTCATTTGCTTGCCTGATGAGCCGATTAATGGATTCAGTGATCATGTTAAAGAAAGAAGTGAATGTGGAGTTCAGCAGCACAAGGGTGATTGTTGACAATGAAGTCAGGGGATGGGAACATAAAGTACTCCTAGTAAAAACAGAACACAACCAGTGAGTTTTGCAATTAAAGGAAGTAGAAATTTTAGAAATATTAGGGATGGAAGGATGTCCAGTGAAGTCAGGGCATTTCTTTTTTGCCTTTAAATGTGGCATATTTGACTCTGTTTCCATACTGATGAGAAAGATCTAGACCAATATATTGCTTGCAGATGTGACCTCGCAATAGTAATTCATGAGACATACATTTTTTCACAGTGTTCTCTGTCACTCTTGGTATTCATGTGAAAACAATGATATGACAGTGAAAACAATGTGGAAGAGCTTTGCTTTGCAATGATTTCATTACTCAGGGAGCTGAACATATTTGTGGATTATTCATTGGTTTTCTTTACTGTACATTGTCTCTGCCAGGTCTTTGCATTTGTACAGTGTGTTGAGGGTTTATTTTTAAATTTTTTTTAATTGCATTCTTTCAAAGAAGGAATTGAGCAGGTTTTTGTTTTGTTTGACCAACTTTGCTGTTTGCAATGAGTTATATTGTGTATGTATATGTGGGGAATTAGTAGTGTGGGCTCAAATCCATCACTTGGTTATATGGCATTCTCTATATTGCTTTTTTGATTTATTATCCTTCCTGAAAAATTGAGCTGTCACTAATATTCTTCAGAATATTGCCAATCCTTTTGATAAACAAAAATGAAAATAAATGGTATTTTGTACACTGAATGTTAATAAATCACCTCTATACATATTTCTCATTTGTTTTTGCACATCTGTCATTCCCCATGGGTCCTTTTGTCTCTTTGTGATGAGATCCATTTCTAAAAGCTGCATCATCTTTGTCTATCATTTCTTCTTTACATTTGACTGGAGATTGCCTTTAGTTTCCATAACCATATCTTAATACATGTATCTTTATGTAAGAAAAAAAATTATCACTTAGTGTTTCCTCCCCAGTTGTAAACATTATTCTCTCATATTATTTTATTCCAAGTCTTTGGACATTAAATCTGGAATTAGTGACTCATCTTGATAGCACACAATTATTCTTTTATGTCTTTACATACATTAGTTTTAGATTCTCATATAATTTTGTTTCACAAGTTGTTTTGAAACACTACACTTGACCTAATTTCATTCCTCCTGCCAATATTTATTCCTTAAGTGCTTAGTGTTTTTAAAACTTCTATTCCTAGATGATGCACACTTATACATTTCATACACAATACACATGGATGAATAGTATCCTATGCTTATCATAAATGCTCTTCAGTTTTAGCGCAGTCCTTTTTTTCTTTTTTTCCTTCCTGTTTCCATTCTTTCTTCTTTCTCAGTAACACATCATGGACTTGCCTGCAGTAAACTAGGGTAATGCTGATTCTTTATTTCAGGGTCTGCATAGTATCTCATGATGTGGCTGTGCTACTCACACTTTGAAAGTGTTTTCTTTCTCAATACATTGTTATTATAACAATTCTACAAAAATATTTAGAGGTTGTTATGTTAAAAAATCTGTTTCTCCATTAGAAGAAATATTATTTCCCAGGGGGGCACTGAGGAATTCAGAGTGAGGCCAGGGAAACTCTAAATATCCTACAAAGGCCAAGGCACAGGCCACCACACAGAACAGAGTGGACCAGAATGTCAAAAGTGTCAAGACTGAGAATTTCTGAGCTGAACGATATGTATATTTTCAAATTTATAGCTGTCTTTAAGTTGTTTTCCCAACATTGTCACAGTTTATATTTCTGCCAACAGAATTAGAGAAATTTCCTTTGCTACTTGTTTAAAAATTCCAACCGAATCAGTGCAAAAGATCTTCATATTGTCTCACAAGCTGATGAGTGTGCCAGAGATTTCTTGTTGTTTTCTAAACCATTACTAAATTGAGCAAATATTTGTGTGCTTGAACACCATGTTCATTACTAGATTCCTATGATTATTATATGTCTATAAACTCTATGTCTATTCTGCATTTAGCATCATTTCAAATGCAGTTGACAGACTATTTATTGATTTTGGTGGATATATTATCCATAAAAAGTTTTAAATTTTATATAGGTAAATATGTCTATCCATGGGAAGCTTGCTAATTGGAATGTCAGGTAGCATTTTACATTGTTTAAGGGAATGATCAGTGATCGGGACAGCCTGGGCTGCAGCTCCTCTAGATTCACCCTTGACCGGGGGTGGGGGGTCATTTTAAGAACACAGCCTAGGGAGCAATGAATTGGGGTGTGAGTAAGTGTGTGTGTGTGTATTGTGTGTGTGTGTGTTTCCTGTGGAGAGAGAAGAGTCCAAAGGCTCGGGCTCACAATCTAATATATTCCAAAGTGACTCTTATAATACAGAGGTCAGAATTCAGTCACCAGATGGTATTCAGGAGGAGCTCTATTTCAAATTACAGAACATTTTTGCATGTAGATTATAAATACAAGAAGTATATACCATGGGTGAGTGACTCTTTTTCTTGAAATTTAACCAGTTGCAAACTGACCTACATCTTTAAACTTCCTGACACCATCTCTCATCACTCTCCCACTTATTCCCCTTAACACACTCATTTCCTTTTTTGGACTTAGTAGCTCAAAGCAGTATAATCTCTAGGGCCTCTGCAGAGGCCATACTTTATGCCAGCACACACTTCCCCAGACAAGCCTGCAGCTCCAGCCCTATCTTTCATGAGGCATCTGTTCAAATGTCACCTTGTTTACTGTTCTTGCATGAACACCAATTACAAAATGGCCTTCCTTTCATCTCTCTCCTTGATACCTACTCTTGTTCTTGTAATAACAATGACACCCTCAGATAACTTTTTATTTTTATTACTATTATTATTATTTTATGTTACTCATTATACAGTATGCCATCTGTTGTTTTTTTTCTTTTTTTTATGTTAGTCACCATACAATATGTCAGGATTCATTTCTTATAAGTATAAGTAATACACAGTGCTCCATGCAATATGTGCCCTCCTTTACACCCATCACCAGGCTAACCCATCCTGTAACCTCCTCACCTCTGAAACCCTTTATTTGTTTCTTGGAGTACCCAGTCTCTCTCATGGTTTGTCTCCTCCTCCAATTACCCTCTTCATTTTTTGCTTCCTTCTCCTAATGTCCTCCATGTTATTCCTTATGTTCCACAAGTAAGTGAAACCATATAATAATTGGCTTTCTCTGCTTCACTTATTTCACTTAGCATAATCTCCTCTAGTCCCATTATGTTGATACAAATGCTAGGTATTCATCCTTTCTGATGGCTGCATAATATTTCATTGTGTATATGGGCCACATCTTCTTTATCTATTTGTCTGTTGAAAGGCATCTCAGCTCTTTCCACAGTTTGGCTATTGTGAACATTGCTGCAAAGAACACAGGGGTGCATATGGACCTTATTTTCACTACATCTGTTTCTTGATGAAGTCCCAAAAAAAAAGACAAGACAAGAACCATATGATCTTCTGTATATAGCTGTGTATACGCAGCTTTTGGGACTTCATTTTGTATAGCTTATGGGACTTTATCAAGATAAAAGCTTCTGCGCCACAAAGGAAACTGTCAACAAAACAAAGAGGCAACCCATGGAGTAGGAGGAGATATGTGCAAATGACGCTACAGGTAAAGGGCTAGCCAAGATCTATAAAGAACTTCTCAAACTCAACACCCAAAAACACAAATAATCAAGTAAAAAAAAAAATGGACTGAAGACACAAACAGACATTCTCTAAAGAAGACATGCAAATGGCTAACAGACACATGAAAAAATGTTCAACATCATTAGCCATCAGGGAAATTAAAATCAAAAGTACATTGAGATATCACCTTTTACAAGTTAGAATGGCCAAAATTAACAAGACAGTAAAAGACAAGTGTTGGAGATGATATGGAGAAAGGGGAAGCCTTCTGCTCTGTTGGTGGGTGCAATTTGGTACAGAATCTGATATATTATTAATATTTTTATTTTTCTCTGTTCTTTCTCCATCATTGGATTATAGTGGCTTTTGGTCTTCATAATCCTGTTCTCATGGCTTGCCATTGCCTGGACCATGTTTGACACTCAATACATAGTCCTCAAATGTATGAAAGATATTCTTAACAAAAACAGTAGAATGGATGACTTCTGAGGGGGAAGGTGAGAAATGAGACATAATGCCTAATCAGAGATAAAATGGTAGGGAATCTCTTCAAAGTGGGACAGTCTCTACAGAAGATATTGAAGTTAATTTCTTGACTCTAAAATATAAATTGTCACATTGCAACCATGTGAGGTATGCTAGTCATGAAAAATTAATGATGTCTTATTCCTCTTTCCTGATGATAGTACAACCACATGCAATCAGTCAATGATACGAGGATATCAGAATTCCTTCTTCTGGAATTTTCAGAGGGACCAGAACTGCAGCCCCTCATATTTGGGCTCTTTCTCTCCATGTACCTGATCACTGTGTGTGGAAATCTGATCATCATTCTGGTTGCTGTCTCTGACTCCCATCTCTATACCCCCATGTACTTCTTCCTCTCCAACCTGTCCTTTGCAGACATCTGTTTCACCTCTACCACCATCCCCAAGATGCTGTGGAACATCCAGACTCAGACCCAAGTCATTACCTATGCAGACTGCATTACACAGATGTACTTTTTCATAATTTTTTCAGGGTTGGACATCTATCTTTTGGCTCTGATGGCCTATGACAGGTTCGTGGCCATTTGTCACCCCCTGCAGTACATGGTCATCATGAACCCCCGGCTCTGTGGATTGTTGGTTCTCATGTCCTGGATCATGAGTGTCTCACACTCCTTGTTACAGACCTCAATGGTGTTGCGGCTGTCCTTCTGTACAGAGGTGGAAATCCCCCACTTTTTCTGTGAACTCAATCAGATGATCCAACTTGCGTGTTCTGACACCTTTTTTAATAATATGGTGATGTACTTTGCAGCTATGCTGCTGGCTGGTAGTCCACTCTCTGGGATCCTTTACTCTTATTCTAAGATCGTTTCCTCCATTTGTAGAATCTCCTCAGGTAAGGGAAAGTATAAAGCTTTTTCCACCTGTGCATCTCACCTCTCTGTTGTCTTATTATTTTTTTGTACCAGCCTAGGAGTGTACCTTAGTTCTGCAGTTACCCAGAACTCTCACACAAGTGCAGTAGCCTCAGTGATGTACACTGTGGTCACACCTATGCTGAACCCCTTCATCTACAGTCTGAGGAACATAGACATAAAGATGGCTCTGAAAAGAATCATTGGTGTTCCAGCAATGTAAGGGCCAATGGTCCTGGGACTGAAGAAGTGCTCATGATTGCGGGGCTTGCAGTCTAAGAGCCAAGAACTACCATTTTTCAATCAGGCTGTGGAATTAGAATCTACTCCTTCTATTTATTTTCTGAAATTTCCATTTGTTTGAACTCACCTTCTCCATATGTTTAAGTACTTCACTTTTTAAGTATTTATTTATTTATTTATTTATCACCGGTATTCTTCAAAGAGCTGGAGCAAATAATCCTAAAATTTGTATGGAACCAGAAGAGACCCCGAATCGCTAAGGAAATGTTGAGAAACAAAAATAAAACTGGGGGCATCTCGTTACCTGATTTCAAGCTTTACTACAAAACTGTGATCACCAAGACAGCATGGTACTGGCATAAAAACAGACACATAGACCAGTGGAACAGAGTAGAGAGCCCAGATATGGACCCTCAACTCTATGGTCAATTAATCTTTGACAAAACAGGAAAAAATATACAGTGGAAAAAAGTCTCTTCAATATTTATTATTTATTTTTTAAAATTTCTTTTCTGTGTTCCAGAATTCATTGTTTATGCATCATTCCCAGTGCTTCACGCTATATGTGCCCTCTTTAATGCCCACCACCTAGTGGTGGGTATTAAGTACCTCACTTTATTAAGCTTTTGCTCTGTCTGATAAACTTCAATAGTAGAGTAATCATGAATTCTTTCCCCAAATAGCAGTACAAATGCCTAGAATAGTATTTTTATAATTTCTTTCTATTCTGCTTGCTTTTGTAATTGTGTCTCTTTGCTAAGAGTGTATAACAAGCCATTCTGAAAACATATGTCTTCATATAACACCTTTATTATGAGATTGTCTGGAGGGGAGTTGTTCTGACCTATTCCGCACTACTTATCACTCTCTACATTTTATTTCTGAAGGTCATCCACGATGTTGTGTGGAGCTGCAGTTCACTTCTTCAACTAACATATAACATTTGTTTAATTTATATATTGAGGTTAATCTTAGAGTTTATGGAAGAAGTGATTTACCAAATTTAAATCTCCATAATTGAATTTTGCTATTTTTAGATCCATATGTGACACTTTGCCTTCTTCCTGGTTATAAGACGTTTCTCTCACTCCTGTCAGATATGACTCAGCTATAATTACTTTTGATCCAATATGAGTCATATACCATTACAATTTTAAATTCTCATGAATGTATTGAAGTATAGTTACATACAGTAAGCTGCATATACATTAAATGTACATTTTGCTAAATTAAAGGTGTAATACTTGAATTAAGCATACACACTGTATGGGCCCATTTTTTTAGAACTTGAGAAGAACAGGAAGTTTTATCTGGATTTTTATGTTTCTGTTAAAAATGTAATTCACCTGGGGGCACCTGGGTGGCTCAGTGGGTTAAGCCTCTGCCTTTTGCTGAGGTCATGATCTCAGGATTCTGGGATCAAGCCCCATATAGGGCTCTCTGCTCATTGGGGAGCCTGCTTCCCCCCCCACCTGCCTATTTGTGATCTCTCTCTCTGTGTCAAATAAATAAATAAAATCTTAAAAATGTGTAATTCACCTGGACGTCCATTTCCTTATTTCTGAAGGTAATGTGGAACTTGATATGAAAGCTGTGAGGAATAAATAAAATACTGGATACACATTTTTGAGTCTAAAGAAAAGATGTGAGAATGAGGAGTGTGTGTATATACATGGCTGTGTGCACTTATGAACCTCTTTCTTTCAAATAAACATTTTCACACACCTGTGTGCACACATTCACACACTGTTTTATAATATCAACTACTAGGTTGAAAGAAAACGTTAGTGAAATTTGCAGAATATTGAAATGAAAACTATGTTTGCATGAACATGAAATAGAAAGATTGCAGAAATTTTGACAAACATATTTAAAGTGGAATGGATGATTAATGTAAAAACAAAACAATAACAAAAACTTTAGGATGAGGCATCTACCTGGCCAGTCATTGGGCATCTGACTCTAGGTTTTGCATCAGGTATTGATCTCCTGGTTATAAGATCAAATCCTACATCAGTCTCCATGCTCAGTGTGGAGTCTGCTTAAGTTTCTCTTTCCCTCTCTCTGCCACTCTCCTCCCCACTCTCTCTCTCTGAAATAAATAAATAAATCTTAAAATAATTAGGGTGACTTAATATTAATAATGAATTACTTTTCTTATCTTAAAAATGCCTGAAAGAACCATATTTATATTTATGCAGTTAGAAATTCTCGTAACATCTGATGGGGCCAAATATCTCCAAATTAACTCTAATTTCTCTGTTTAATGTGGGATTTCAACCAAAATTCCCAAGGGAAGCTAACTGAATGATTTGAGAGGCTCAAACTCAGTTCCTGCAAACTAGATTACTGGATAAATATCTATATTAGATTCCTGTCACTGCTGTCACAAATTACCTCACTAGTGTCTAAAAACAAATAATTCTTTGAAGGTTTTATAGATCAGAATCATGAAAGGGGTGCAATAGGGCTAAAATAAAGATGTCGGTGGGCCAGAATCCTTCTGGAAGCTCTGGAGGAAAACATCCTCTTTCCTGCTTAGTGGCTCCCACATTCTTTGGCTCATGACCTTTCCTCCATCTACAAAACCAGCACCTCAGTAGTTTCAAGCATCTGTCTGACTCCATTCTTCTTTCTTGCTCATCCACATTTAAAGAACCATTGTGACTGTGCTAGTCCAATGTGGATAATCTGGGCTTATCTTTGCGGGATAATGACTAGTAGATTTATTCCATTTGCTATCCTGACTACCCTGCTAAGTAAGTTAACAACTTCAAAAGTTCTTCAGGATGACATCTTTTGGAGGCCCTTCTTTTGCCTTCTATAAATATTTTTCATTTACATTAATTGATACTCCTCAAGAACCAATCTTTCTTTCTTTCTTTTTCTCTCCTTCCTTCCTTCCTTCCTTCCTTCCTTCTTTCCTTCTTTCCTTCCTTCCTTTCTTGTTTTTCTCTTTCTTCTTTCTTTCTTTCTCTCTGAATTAATATAATTCTTTATCACTCTCTCTGTAAATTTCTGTTTTATTTTTTTATTATGTTCAGTTAGCCAGCATATAGTACATCATAAGCTTTGATATAGTGTTCAACAATTTATTAGTTGCATATAATACCCTGTGTTCATCACAACATGTACCCTCCTTTTTTTTTAGTTTTTTTTTAATTTTTTAAATTTATTTTCAGCGTAACAGTATTCATTGTTTTTGCACCAAACCCAGTGCTCTATGCAATCCGTGCCCTCTCCAATACCCACCACCTGGTTTCCCCAACTTCCCACCCCCCCTTCAAAACCCTCAGATTGTTTTTCAGAGTCCATAGTCTCTCATGGTTCACCACCCCTTCCAATTTCCCTCAACTCCCTTCTCCTCTCTAACTTCCTATGTCCTCCATGCTATTTGATAAGCTCCACAAATAAGTGAAACCATATGATAATTGACTCTCTCTGCTTCACTTATTTCACTCAGCATAATGTCTTCCAGTCCCGTCCATGTTGCTACAAAAGTTGGGTATTCATCCTTTCTGATGGAGGCATAATACTCCATAGTGTATATGGACTACATCTTCCTTATCCATTCGTCTGTTGAAGGGCATCTTGGTTCTTTCCACAGTTTGGCGACCGTGGCCATTGCTGCTATAAACATTGGGGTACAGATGGCCCTTCTTTTCACTCCATCTGTATCTTTAGGGTAAATACCCAGTAGTGCAATGGCAGGGTCATAGGGAAGCTCTATTTTTAATTTCTTGAGGAATCTCCACACTGTTCTCCAAAGTGGCTGCACCAAATTGCATTCCCACCAACAGTGGAAGAGGGTTCCTCTTTCTCCACATCCTCTCCAACACATGTTGTTTCCTGTCTTGCTAATTTTGGCCATTCTAACTGGTGTAAGGTGGTATCTCAAGGTGGTTTTAATTTGAATCTCCCTGATGGCTAGTGATGATAAACATTTTTTCATGTGTCTGATAGCCATTTGTATGTCTTCATTGGAGAAGTGTCTGTTCATATCTTCTGCCCATTTTTTTATATGATTGTCTGTTTTGTGTGTGTTGAGATTGAGGAGTTCTTTATAGATCCTGGATATCAACCTTTTGTCTGTACTGTCATTTGCAAATATCTTCTGCCATTCCGTGGGTTGCCTCTTTGTTTTGTTGACTGTTTCCTTTGCTGTGCAGAAGGTTTTGATTTTGACGAAGTCCCAAAAGTTCATTTTCACAGGGGGTGGGAGGTTGGGGGAACTAGGTGGTGGGTATTGAAGAGGGCACGGATTGAATGGAGCACTGGGTGTGGTGCAAAAACAATGAATACTGTTACGCTGAAAATAAATTTAAAAATTTTAAAAAAATCTAATCCATCCCTTACTTGGTTTATACATTAGAGCAGAACATAAATCCCTCTGAGCCCCATTTCTACAATAAATAATGGAGTTTGTAAAAGTACTCTTCACAGAATGAACTTTTGTTTAAAATAAATTTTATATGCCCTATAATGAGGTAAGCTAGGTTGTGGTGCATGAAATATAAATGTATCTCTTTCAATTTATAAATGGTTCCTTATTATGAACTGTTTATTAATTGAAAGAGATATTAATCCTTATAATAAGGAAGTAAATGCCAGTTCTTAACTTGCCTTCTAACTGTGATATTCTTCATTGTTCTGACTAAACTATCATGAAACCAAGGAGTGCACTAGCCAAGATTTTAGAGTAAAGGAACAAATGTCTCCCCTTTCTTGAAGAAGGAAATATTAATTTTCTAGAGATATGAGGGATTATGTCTCCGCCATAAGCCAGTGCTTTGAAGACCCAAGGGAAAGAGTCAAATGAGTTCCTCAGTATTAGACTTTTGAGAAAACTTTAAGTCAGGGTTGTGATCATGTCCTGAGAAGTTTAGACCTCTGGAAACGGGAAAATTATTGGAGAAAAGTTAATAAAAACTGAATTCACCTAACATTCAATATGGTCTCCTAGGAAGAGAGAATCATCAA